ATGGGAATCCCCAGCACTTCTCATGAGGGACACTGGCACAATCCTGTGACTCCAAACTCACTGGTGAACAATGGCACTGTGGGGAATTCAGGTAACTCTTCTCTGTTGTATCAAACCTCTCACACTTTGTGTACAAGTGTTAAATGTTACAGGAACAGATAACTCTTTGAGATTGTTTGATAAAATTACGATGCTTAAGAAACCAAATCATGACTTTCAGCTGTCTTAACATTTTCATAGGAAAAAAAATGAGAATTGATCACCCTAACTTTTAGGCATTGGTCCTGTCTGCCATTAATGGCTGTGCAACAATGAGAAATCCTGCATTCAACTGAGAAACCTCCTCATCATTGTTTGAATCACTCACATTTCTGTGAATGTGCTGGCAAATAATGGATTCCTGAGACAATCATGGAAACATTAAAGTTGGAAAAGACCTCTAAGATCAACACATTGTTGAATAATATATTAGACAAATGCTGAGGTTGCAATCATGAACTTAGATACTGGCAGAATTTCAGTTGTGCAAGTTGAATACTGTCTCATCATCTTTAGTACAGTATAATAATGATCTTACCTATTCTGTTTTTTCCTGTGGCTTGTCCTGCCTCACTTAACTTCCATAATCTTGATGTTGATTCCTGACATTGCATTTTCATGTGACAAATGGGCAACAGCCTCTTGCCTCACAGCAAACATTGTTATGTTTGAGGCTGAGAAAAAGCAGGATATAATGATTAAAGGCCTTTCCGTTTTCTCTGCTACATGAACTGTGGCAGCCTCTAAATTTTAACTGTTAACCTTTACATCATTAATCATGGTGGTGGTCTTCTGATTTATTCTGAGTGTGTAAGTCCTCCTGTTTAAAAAAATAAATGCATAATATAATGTACTGGTGCAGTTGTTCATCCTAAGATGGAAATTCTCAATCTCCTGCCCAGCCTTTCTCTGCACTAATAATGTGATTGTCAGTAACAGTAGATTTTTAGCTGAATCTACTGTTTTGGATGAGGAATAATTCACCAATGGGCGTCAAACATAAGGGGCTGGAGATACATGATTTTCTGTTTAAAGCTTTGTGGGGAATATATTTTAAAGGGTACAGGAACTTCTACCTGTGTGTTTTCTGTGTCTCCAGTGTGCTCTGTCCCTACCTCTCCATTTGGGATCTTCTCATCTCTCCCCTTCTCCAGCTTTGCCTTTCCTTTAAGCAGCTCCCTCCAATCCCCATGTCCTTACTAAGGTTGCTGCCTTCTTTCAGACAAGCTCCATAAATTCTAATTCCTTCTCTGTGTGCTATCAGTCACAGTATTTTTTTTCCATCCCTCATCTAACATCAATTTCCAACCTCATGACACCCCTTTTCCTAGTTCCCAATCACAGTAATTTTCTTCTTTGAAATGGAATCAGTTTTCCTTTTTGGCTTAGATGCCATTAAGGTGAATGCACATTAGAGATGAGCTGTCTCCTGGCTGTTTGAAGCATGGTTTCAGACCTCCTCAGGACAATTTGACAACAGTAAGTTTGAGGGAACTTTGTCCTGGCTCACATAACTTTGACTTGAAAGGAGCTACTTAAATTTTCTTTTCAGTAGACAGCTGATTAGAAGTAGGATCATTACAATTATCAAGACAGCTCTTTTTCATGCATACTCAAAAGCTGTGCCTCAATTTGTGGATCCTGCCTCCTTGGATGCTTGATTTCTCATCCCTAATGTTGCAGTGATATCAGAATTTTAAATGGAATAGCTTTACAATTTGTATATTTATTTCCAAAGTTTATATTTTTCTCTCTAAAAATAATTTTTTAAGTCAGTCCCATGATCTAGATAGCAAGTTTCTTAAGCATGTAAGTATTAGTGGAATTCCAGTGTAAATCTGAGTTATTTCTTGCAGTAGGATAATAGTTTTCCTCTCACAGCTCTGTCAGTGATAGTGGATATTTGTGTGGGATCAGACAGTAGTTCTGAACATTGTTCAGACCTTGTATTTTCCACCATGAAAAAGTCATAAAAATAGTGAAATCATAGCTCTTGATTTTAATGTTGATTCATCCTCTCTCTTCCCAATAATTCTATTATAGTGAATAATGAAGTAATTAAAGTGATAATATTTACTGATGTATATTAAATTTAAAAAAAAGTTGCACATCAGACTGATCACATTAAGCCCCCTGCAAACTGTTATTTAAGATGTAAATTGTATTTCTGACTTACTGTTTAATTATTTCAACTTGCAATGTGCTTTTCCCTTTCAATTGAAAACTAGATCAGGGTTTCCAAGGACAGTTTGGTAAAATGAACCCTCCTTCTGTCCCTTGGGACCATGGGACCCCCACCCATTTTCCTCTCCTCCGAGGAGCGTGGCCTTACAATATGCCTCAGAACTACATGCAGCAGGGAAATGCCAGCTACCCACCGAACAAACCTTTCTACCCTCAAGGTACCAGAACCACTCTGTGCATCAACAGCTCGTGCTCCATGTCTCTGTACTGTCTCAAAGGCTTTAAGAGCCAAATAATCATGGAAATCCCTGGAAACATTAATGAATCCTATAGTCAAATCAGCACTTCAGCTTCCTCTGTGGATGAGTGAAAATCTTTGTGGGAGGGAAGGGTTAAAATAGAATTCTGAAATCTGAGCCCGTGTGCAGCCTGTTGCACTTCCAGCCTCTTTCTCTTTGCTGCTGCTGGCTCAGCTGGAGCTGCCTCTGCTTCAGTAGAGGTTAAGATGATTGGCCCATGAGCGTGTTCAGAATATGAAAAAATTTTTGTTATAATTCATTTTATTTGGCTTTTGTACCTTGCTTTGTGGAGTGACTTACATAGATAAAAACTTGCAAGTGCAAGACCATAGAGTAATTGAGGTTGGAAGGGGTTTCTGGAGGTTCAGTCCCGCCCATCCACAGTCAGAGCAGCACTGACTGCAGAGTTAGGTCAGGCTCAGTTCACCAGGGAAGTGGAAAAGACTGACTTGATTTCAGCTCTGATGTTTATGAAAGGTGAAGGTGTTCAGCATCTGGCAGGATGGGGAAAGGCTGTAGGAAAAAGACCTCCAGTACCAGAGAAACAGTGCTCAAATTTGACTTGGAGGATGTGCAGCTTCCATGCTGCTGGGGGTCACCTGGTGTAAAATGAGAGATATGGCCACCAAATCCTTTTTCAAAATCCAATCTATTGGCTCTAGCAGGGTTTCCAAGTGAAAACTGAATTTACTTAAAATCCTGAAATTATTTTTGTTAAATAACTGAAGTAATGCAACAAAATAATGTGTTTGTGAGTGTTAGGGAATTTTGGAGATAGGATTAAATTAATTCTACCTTGTCTCCTTAAATGGGTTAGGTGTACAGATAGCATTTGTGTCAGTCTAGTAAATGGCTTTATTTCTAAGTTAGATTAGTACACTGAATATAGCCAAGCACTGTTAAATATGTGATTTGCTGAAGTAATTGTAATCCATTTTCTTTTAGCTGGTCCACTGATGCAGAATAACCAGCGGTTCTCACTTCTGTCTCAAGGACACCCACACTTGAATCTGAATTACATTCAACAGAAAAAGTGAAATTGGATGGGATTGTGGGTGGGTGGGGGGAGGGGAGGAAGAAATTCAGGTTCTGATTTAAAATCTTAATGCAACATGTTTAGATACAAGATTATTTAAGACTGTTTTTAAACTGTATCATTTGTACATAGATATGAACTATAGTTTTTACTAGTATCACAAAACTGAGTGATACAAATTTCATCTATTTTATTACCCTATTTTTAAGGGGAATTGTGTTTTGTTTTATCTTGATAAACTGTAAAGAGAGAGAATTTTTAAAATTAAGTTCTTTATTTTCTATTAGCTGTATTCATACTTTGGTTGCTTCAGACTTTATATATATTGTTCTAAAAAAAATAAAATTAGAAGGGGATTTCATGTGTTTAAAAATTTGTCACTTCTATTCTTTACAGAACTATGTAGTGCCAAAAAAAACTTTTTAAAAAGAAAAATAAAACGGCAAAAAAAGGACATAAGATTTTTTCCTCTTTTCTATTTGTATGCATGCTTACTTTAACAGGAATAATAGAAATGGCTTTAATGTGGAGATCTTGGAAAGATGAGCAGTTTTAATAAGTGATACAAGCACCAGACCTGCTTTTTTCCATGCTGGTGTTGTTGCATGTGCTGTTGACAGCCCCTGTGTTATCCTTGAAGGAGGAGCACACCTGCTTTTCTGTTTATCAGCTTTGCAAAATCAAATGCTAATACCGTGGAAAAATTAGGCTGTACTGGGAAGCAGTTTTAAAGAGGGCTTTCCATAAATTCCCTAGGCACACTTATTTGTGCTGTCAGCACTCCCAGGGCAATATGAGAATTCTGAATCCTAAATGCAGAGTTCAGGGATAAACCTGAAGGGCCAGGAATAAAGACAAGGTACACAAGGGCTTAACACAACTGATTTTAAATGTAGTAGAAGGAGAATTATATCCTCAGTAAGAGTTTAATTATTCTAAATTAAAAGAACTAACTTGACTCAGAGAAGGTAGAGCTGAACATCATCATGGTGTCAGATTCTGTTCCCAGTCACAGGGAGGCCACAAACTGTGCTCAAAGTAGTGGTGTACTGTCTTTAAATATACTGAACTTACTCCAGAAGAATTAATTAGTGCTTTGTACTGCTTTAACCTTCTGAACTCTGTGATGGCAGCACCAGAAGCAGCAGATTACACTGAAGGAAGATTTTTACAAAGCACCCAATGATGACCACAGGTTGGAGAGCACTGTCAAAAGTGAGCTTCTAGTGAACACACTGGGTTGTGACAGCCTTGCTTCCTCTCCTGCACTGGAGCTCTGAGAGGCCACAACTGGGATCCCTGCAGTGTTTGTGACTGAAAACAGACTTCCTTTGGCACCTGACTGCAGGGACAGTGTGACAAAACAAGGCCCTGATTAGAGAATGATTCCAGCTTCAACCAGGGGACATCTCAACAAATTACTATGAAGGAAACAGCCAGGAGCCTTTAAAGACAAAACTTTCTCTTTTTTTATTGCTCTTCCTAAAGTTTTTACAGGCTTCAAGAAAAACAATTAAAAAAACAACCTTCAAATTCTATCACAAGGATGAGTAACTAACTACATAAAAAGTGTCCTTAGCTTACCTTTAATAAAAAAATTCAAGAAAACAAAATGAGAAAGATGATAAAAGAAAGGGACTGCTAAAGCAGCCAGTAGAGTCAGCTGTCCTGTGGAGCAAACAGGACAGCATTAGACTGCAGCTCAAGGTCCTTGAACAGTGGGCTGCGTTTTGTTTCTTATTCATTTCCTCGCCGACTCTTTTTGTGACTTTTCTTAGATCTGAAACAGAAAAAAACAAAAAGCCAATACTGTAGAACCTACCTTTAATTCCCAAAGTGCACTTCAGAAATAAGCTAAGCCTTTACCTTTCAGGTGATTTGGAATGACTTCTGTGTCTGTGACTACGGTGATGCCCTGTGGGATAAAAAAGCAATAGTTATTTCCATTGCCACTGGAATTCTTTGTTGTTTTGCTAATGCCATCTGCTTCTAGGGACCAAGTGTGCCAGACATTGCCAGAACAACCCTAGCTTTAACCAGGCACTCCCATTAACCTCCTGGCACGGATCTGAAAACTTACTCAAGACAATTTTGCAGCCATTAAAGGAGTTCCCCAGCTCTGCTTTCATGTGAGCAGCAGTTTTATCAGCCACATTTAACACCTGTGCTACCACCTTGATACAGTGACACAGATTTTTCCTGCAGTGGATGTGCTGCTGATAAAGACTTGCCAGAGTGATTCTGAAGGGGCAGAAGTACCTGGAGATTTAGATCTGGATCTGTGGCGCCTCTCCCGGGATCTGCTCCGGTGCCGTCTCGGGCTCTTGCTGCGATGCCGCTCCCGGCGCGGTGATGGGCTGAGGGAAAGGCAGATTCTGAGAGAGCTGTGCCACAAATGCACATTGCTCACCTAAATAATAGAATTAAAGAGTACCTTCTTCTCTTTGGAGAGCGGCTGCGCCTGCAATTGGGAGAGAAAAGCAAAAAATCACTGAAAATCATCAGCAGAGCAGCTGTTTCATTTCCCACATCTTCAGCAACAACACCAGAGATTTTACTTCCTTTGAGTGCTTAGGACTGGACCATGCAGTGAGCCAGAGTCTGGTGATGAACTTTTTCTGTTTTAGTATCAGTGAGAGCGATTAATAGGATTTTCTCTGTGGCCTCTGCCTTACATGAAAACAAAGCACCTGATTCTCCTTAACATCTTCATTGTATTGTCAAATACAGCTAAGTCGGCCAGAAAGTTCAAGATTTAGAGAATGACTGGAGGAACAGGCAGAGGGGTTGACATTGGCTGTGCACTGCAATTCCTCACTTCACAAAGTGCTAAAGGAACTGGGAGGTGTCAGAGTTCTGGCTGAACTGCCACCTCCACTGCTGTGCTCCAGCTGTGTGCAGCACAGAGGTAACAACACTGCAGAAGGAAGAGCCCCCTCACCTCCTGGGGGAGCGGCTGCGGCTGCGCCGGTAGCGCACCACCGGAGACCTGCGCGGCTTGTCCAGGTCCCTGTAGCCCCGTCTGCGGTGGTCAGGAGATGGGATCCGTTCCAGCTGTAAACAAGGGGGAGGAGGGTCTGTAAGTCCTGTTTCAGCAAGGTTTTATGTGGGATCTCAGCACCTCAGGACTGAGGTGCCGAGTCACCGAGACCACCCTTGGGGGGCTCAGGAGTCCTGGAATGTTGCCAGAAGTGCCTGGTGGCTGGACTTTGATCCTACACGGGAGACGACACCTGTATGAGGATAGGAGGATTTCACCGGGGTGAATGGTGAAGGGATCAGTTAATTAGAGGGTGAAACACAGGGTTTAGGATTTCTGTACAGGGGGGTTTAGAGAAGTAAGATGGAGGAATTGGGGCGTGTCCTGTCCTTCTTCTTCTTCTTCTTCTCCTCCATCTTCTGTGGTGATGGTGGCACTTTGGGATTGGCTGTTACTAAAAGTGCACTGGGCAATAAGGGTGAAAGGTATTGGGGAAAAATGATAAATATTGTATACGTAACTTTGGGTATAAAGATAGGTGACCGCCCGGAGGGCAGGACAGAGTGCTCATGGCTGGCTGCTGAGCAGAGCTCTGTCGGGCCGAGAGAAAATCTTTTAGATAAACAATTAATAAACACAGAGACCGAGAAAAGAACTGAAGCCTCTTCTGTTCCTTTGAAACGCGGGTTGCCCAAGGCCACCCTGGGCCTTTCCAGGCCATCCAAACAGCCGAAAACCGGACAGTTTTATACTATCAATAAAGATTTCTGAACAATGAATATAAACTGCAAAAGTCAGGCAGCCAAGCTTCCCCATCCCCAAGTGATTCTTATGCAGGAGTGAGTGGTGCTGTCCAAAACTGCCAACTGGAAATCAACCAACCACTTCTCATAGTGTTGGTTTTGAAGAAATACAGCAGCACTGACTGATGGCCACAGGACCTTCCATCATCACCTTTAGTTCTCTCCATTAGATAGGCATATAAATCAATTGGTCTAAATAAGCTTAACAGAGAGCAGACCCAGCTTTGTTGAATTCAATCGACAGGAAAACATGGCAACCTGAGAGTTGTTTCAGGGTCCAAGTCCTCACAAACTGCTTATATAAAAATACACTACAAAGGGAGATAAGAGTTGCCAGCAGGCTCCCCTCAAATATCTATCATAGACTATGAAGTGTCCTAAAGGGATTCAGCTTCAACTATTCGTTTCCAATACAGTTCATCAAACAGTTCACCAACCTTTTCATCTTCTTCTTCCTCCTCCTCACTAGATTCTACATCATCCATGTCTTCCTCCAGAGCACTAACACGAGGCTCAAGTTGCTCAGCTTCTTCAAGAACATACCGTTTCTAGAAAGAATTGCACTTTTATTCAACACAACCCAAATAAGAACAAACACCTAAGGCAACCACAGCTTACACAACAAGCCAGCAGCCAATCCAGCTACTGGACTTGGTGCAGTCAGGAATTCCATAACCATCTACATTTCCAACCTGCAGTCGAGGCAGGATGATGTCACAGACTCGTTCCTCATGGAGTAGCTCATCAATAAATTCATCCACGTGCATCAGTTCAAATTCTGGAGGTAAAAAGTAGCATTTAAAAGACAAAATGAACACTAGAGGCTAAAGTAAAGGTGAAACACTTCAGACAACTTATATTGACAGGTTATGCCACAATTTTAAAGATTTATATTGCTAAATAGACATAAGAGTGTTTACCCCCGTTCCTGTTCTGACTTTTAATTTTGCGATAGTCGTTGTACAGCGGCTCCAGGTACTTGTAGCAGTCGATGGCAGTGCCTGTCAGTCTCATGTACAGTGCTCCAAGCATTCGCACATACCTGGGAAGGAAACCTTTCCATGGATCTCTGCTTCCTTAGCAGTTAAGACAAAAAAGATTTTTTTCCCACAAGTTTCTGAGGAAAATCAGTAGATGGCCAGAATACACAACCATTTATATTTGCTCCATTGCTTCCTCTACACTATCAAAACCATCATACACTTTATATACATTATGTGTGTAAGGGGGCATTATCACCAACAAAAATGAAAAAAAATACTGAAGAAAAAGCAGGTTAACATGAATGCCTTAATGCAGCTCATTCCAAACACTTCAGGCAGAGTTTTATTATCACAGAGAGCACACACCACAAAGATGAGCCCTTCCAACAGGCCATGTGACAAGGACAGCAGCCTTAAAAGCAAGAAGAAAAGCTTGGTTTGGAGCAAGCCCAGTTTATCAAGGCACACCGAGAGCTAAACCCTGCACTGAGGCCCTGGCTGCTTTGAGCACTTCCCTTCGGTACAACAACGTCAACAAGGAGAAAAAAACCACTCTACAACTTACTTGAAGTCTTCGTTTTTTATGAACTCCACGATGATGTCCTTCTCGGGCTGGATCTGCAGCATCTTCAGCGTCAAGCACAAGAAGGGCGTGGGTTTAATATTCCCTCCATAGACGCCCCCCACGTACTTCAGCTCCATGGCCTTGTCCACCACCAGCTCGGCTGCGAGAGGGACGGACGGGCCGGGCCGTCAGCGCGGG